GGCCAGAAAAAAGTAGGACAGCTCTCAGAGGGACTGGGAATGCTTAAACTCTTTAAAGGCTGTTCATACTGAGCAAGAGCGAGCCCAAAAGGTTATGATTAAATTGTACGTGCACTTTAGACCTTTGTCTTTATTTATTCCTCAGGAGGGCAGGCATAGGTGATCAGAGGTCCAGTCCCTATCCTTCAGTTCCTACGGATAAAAGACTATAGGTTTGGCACCTTTTTGTGGTTCTAGCTAAGCAACAGTACCATGGTTTTGTCCCTCTGCTCTCAGTCCCTCTAAGCCAATTCCTTCAAACATGGAAAAGGTTCTGCATCTCAGCTGCAGTTCATTTCGTTGCCCGCTGTTCCTGTGTTAAACTGACCTGGAGTAGCACATCACAGACTGTAGTGCCATTTCACATGTGTTTGCTCAGCTAGAAAATCTACCCAGGAGTTTCCTGAGTGCCTGCTGCAATATAACCTGGTATTTTGGAGTCTAGAAATGCCTGTGAACTCCTCAGATCGCTTCTTCCCACTGACAAAGTATTGTTTTGAGATCCATCTGGTGTCAAGTGTAGGCATATGGCACCAGTATGGCAGTGCTGCCTATGGGGGTGGTTTCCTGCAGAAGAGGTCTCGCTGAACGCAGTAGTCATTTGCCTATTGAAAGTCATTATTGTTTAGCACCCAGGTCTTTGTGGACTTGCTCAACTGGTGGCTGGGCACAGTGCCATCTGCATCTACGGACATGAGCACAGACAGCTGAGTCTCTGGGGCCTTACACACATCAGATGTGGGTACTGAGGTCAGGCTTCTCAGTAAGGAGAATCTAAATGACTGTCTGTCCCGAGCATGTGTATCTGTGGTTGAAGGGATATGCCATCATTAATCCAAATCTGGGCTGGATTAAGCTTCTGAAATAAAAACCAGCTCTGCCAGATGGCTCAGGGCCTGTTTGAATCGAGTGTGTCAGCGGGGAGGGAAGAGGGAGGCAGGGGTGGCTGAGCAGCCCCTCGCCCCTGTAGCGCTTCTCTCCGAACGGGCCAAGATGACCTGAGGGCTGGCAGAGCAGGGGGCCGGGGTGTGCTGCCTTCATCCCTACCGCTGCAGGCCTCTCCAAGGGTTTCTGAGGCTAGCCTTCTCTTTGCCATGACAAGCGCACAGACATTTCATGCTTTGTTTCTTAATTACGTTTTCAGCACTGTTCTTGTAACAACTGGGAGCAGAAGCTTTAGCATTCAGGGAGTGGGATTGCCTGTTTGCAGGACAAAAATCTCAGGTTTACCAGCTTTCCCTTTTGCCTGGGCAGTTCTCCCACATGGAACTAATTCAGGCTGGCTCATCTGGCCCTATGAGAGCTGCTCAACTGCATGGACAGGCAGAGCATGCACAGGGGATGAGGCAGCAGCACCAGCATGGTGGCACCCACCAGAAAGCCATCACCAAGATACAGGAGTAGAAAATCTGAGTGGAAGAGCACAGAGCCAGAAATACTTAATAATGTTGCTGAGAAACCTAAGGAGAGGCAGAGAAATCTAAATCCAGTAAGACTGTATTTACATAGAGGGAGAAAACACCAGAGTTTTATGCTGAAGTGAATAATGAAATGATTCACTGCACAGAGCAGTTTGGAGAAATGAAGGTGATTGAATACTGAGGTTTGCCTTTCTCTTGCGGGTCCCAACAACTTGCAGACACAGATGCTCCATGGCATAACACTGTGAACCTCCTATTCTCCTATTCCACTTTTACAGTGTGGGCACTAAAGTCCCTGTGGAATTGCATTCTGACGTGATCCCTCTTACATTTCTTTATGCATTGTTGTCATATGCTATGAAACTAGCTGCATCTGTCCTCTGCAACAGGTAACTAAGCACCTACAGCATGTAAAATATGTCTAACTGAAAAACTGGGGAGCTTTACTGTCGTCATTGGAAAGTGCCGTGAGATTTCCCTAAGTAGGTTTGGTAAAAGTGCAAAGAGGGATACACTGATATTTTAAAACCTGACCATGCACTGGTTCCTCCCCCTTTGAAGTTAGTGTCAAACTGCTTTTTTAGAGGAGCAAGACTACATGCATGAATCGGCAAACAAGAGGCAGCCTGGAGGCAGAAGAGGCTTACAGGGAACGGTTTCTGCTGCTGTCCTTGAGCACAGAGCTGTTCAGACAGACTGGAGACCTGTCTGCCGCTCTCTCCCATTAAGGCTAAGAAATGAATGCTTTTAAAGTTGTTAAATGAATGGGCTGGATCTTACAGCCCTTACTCATCTGAGTACTGCCATTAAGAAAATAATCACTATATTAAGTGCTATGGAGTCCTTAAATTGTAGAATTTTAATATTTTACAGAAGTTTTTTCCTCCATAGAAATATAATACTGACATAATTAAAAAGATGTGAACATTTCATCCATTGAAGAATGGAAGCTACTTTGGAGCGATACGTAAAACTAGAAGCAGTGCAGAGGGCTTAAGTCCGTGTCATGTTTGTAGGTTATTTTTGAACTTTATGAAAAACACACTTTAGCAGTTTATATCCTGACCATTCCTGGGATTCTGAATTCAAAAACATGCTAACCATGAAAACACAGCATTTAAAAATACCCTGTCCACTTGGCTTCTTTGCCCTGCTTCAGAGTCTCACAAGTTTGTTTCGGACAAACTGAGAACTTTGTTGTGGAATGACTGTTTGAATTGGGGTTTCTTAAAATACATGTGGAGCCTTGTAGCTGCTGCGGGGTGTACACAGTGGTGGAACTGTACTATTTTAAAATCATCTGGCTATTTCACTTCATGTAAGAATATCTGTCAGCTTAGTTATAAGGAATGAGAGGGTTGATTAAAACAACTCATGAAGCCATTAAACAAAGAGAAAAAATGTAGAACGTGCTGTAGGGTCGTTTTAATTATAATGTGTGGGGGATCTGTGGAAACCGGATACCAGCTGCATTGTAGCTGAGTTTTAAACCCCTCTTAGCAGTACCAAAGTCCTATTACTCAGAGGTGGGTTTTCTTATCTGTAAAGCTAATAGGTCCTTTGGAAATGGTGTTTGGAACCTTTTGTTGCTAGGACTGAACATAGTGTAATTATTATGCTGAAGAGCTTGGATAAATAAGGACTAAAATAGGCAATTATGTATACTAATGATCTAGCCATTAGACACTAGACTATATAATGTCAGAGAAATGTATGCAAAAGCTTTAGTCAGGAAGGGAAGGGATCAAAGATGGCGAGTGAGCAGCCATGAGAAACCAGAGAGAATGGTGAAGAAAAAAGATAGTGGCAGCTTATTTCATTGTCTTGGCAATCTTATTAGGTAAAAAAACCCAGTATTGAATATACTGCTGTATGCTATGTATACTAAATTAATTTAGCATATAATCTGACTTTAAACAATAGATATCAGGCAGCCACATAAATTAAGTAAAAACTATTTAAACTTCATGTTTTGCTTTGCTCTTACTAACGTAGCTATAGACATCAAGAGTTAGCATAATTAATTCTAGCCCTGTCAGAAGGGGTTTTAAATCTCAGGTGTAAGAGTTCAAACCAGTCTCTAGCCACTAGAAATCAGGATGAGGAGCAGTAAGGAAAGAAGACAACACATCTGCCCATGTCAGAGTTTTTACAACTCCATCCACTCCTGCCAGAGACAGGGATGTCAGCTAAGTAGACAATAGGTCTAGTTCAGCTTGGCAGCTCCTGTGTTCCCAATTCAACGAAGTTTACTTAAACGTCTTCAGTGCTTTTTATGCAACTGAAGTATGGTAATTTAGTTAACTCTTTGTCATTGAGTAAAATGAGTTCACACATAGGAACTTCACCACTTCAAAATATCCAGTCATTAAACTAGAACAAGGGTTTGTTAACAGAACTCATTGGAAACAGCCAGAAAATGAATTTTTAAGCACGCGACCACCAACAGTGAATTTAACATTCTGACTGTAATTGCTGCAGCAGTTCAAGTCTTGCTCTGTGGTTTGTAAGCATCACTAAAACGGCCCATGAAAAAATGACATTTGCTTCTGTTTGCAAACTGTCTTTATTAGTATGTGAATTCTCAGGAAATTATATGAATACTGTAGCTTTTGCTTTCCAATTTGCATAAAACAAAGACATAACATCCAGGACTAATTATATAAAAATGGAAAGTAATTCCTTAGAAAGAGGAGGGAGGACTTGAAGGAGTTACCGCTTATTGCTTTTGGCTGTAGCTTGTTGGCACATGAAGGCTCTGGGGACTGTTCCCTGGAGAACTTCAAAGTAGTATGTTATTTTAAAGACACTGGAAGGCAGTAGTTGGGATACATAGACATCTCCATACTGGCTTGCAGGGCACTGTACCAGGTAGCCAGGGTAACCATTACACCAGTCTGGCTTCTCAGTATCCCTAGCTAAAAAAAATGTACAAAAGCAGCTCAGCTATCATTAAAAAGAGGAAAAACTGATTTCTGCTCAGTGTTAGGGAGAGTGTGATTCCCTCTGCTATTTAGAAGAGGACCTCTCTGTAGCAGAGAAATCAGTCATTGATCCATCAGTGAGGCAGGGTTTGTAAGCTGATGCTCTCACGGCTCTGCACCTTGAGGTGAACTTCGGAGGGTCTCTCACAAACTGACCTCAAATTGTTTGAGAGTTAAAAGCTAGAGGAGCAATAGGGGAAGAGCTCTCCCTGATGGGAAACTATGGGTTCTCACTTTTGGAAATGAAATTAAGCATCTTCACATCATTGTCATGGAGAGGTTATCTCAAGTTTTTATCATCATGCTAAGACTCATCCTATGGTGCATTTTTTTCCCTAGGAACAAAGGAAATACACATTTTCATTTTAGGGTCAAAATTAGCTCTTTGCATGTGTCCTGTTGGCTTTAGCAGAATCACTGGTATGGAAGGAATATGAATAGAGTTCATACAGTGATTTTTAAAATACTAAGTGCTAATTACAATATGCTTTGTTAAGGAGAGAATTGAAGATGACTGACCATGTAACCCCTGTCTTCTCTACCTGTTTTACCCTAGTCCTCCGTGATGTCTGTCTGTTTTGCCCGCTTTCACCCAAACCTGGTTGTTGGTGGAACATACTCTGGCCAAATCGTCTTGTGGGATAATCGCAGTCACAGGCGCACTCCGGTTCAGAGAACTCCCTTGTCTGCTGCTGCTCACACGGTAAGGATAAAGATCACCTCCTCCTTTCCTTAGAGGAAATGGTCAGCAGGGAAGTGGAGCTGTCTAGTTGTGTCCACAGTGCTGGTTGCCACACCAATGAAGACATAAGTGTGGCCCTTGAAGAGAAAGAAATAGGTAAGGGAGATGCACAACCACCTCATGTAAGTGATTAACTATCACACTTCCTACAGTCAGGTCAGGAGATCATCCTCCTTTCCAAGGAAGAGGGCAGGATCAATTACAACACTTGAGTGAGGCACATTAGTACCAGCACAGTGGCACTGTGACTCCTGTTCTCCATTGCCTGTAAAGACAGCCAGGTCACTATAGGGACAGTGTGTCCGTCAGTCCAGCATGGCAGACAGTTCAAATCATTTATTGTTGTCTTGTTGTACATGAGTTTCTCTTTTGAACCAGATTTAAGCCCCTGCAGTGGTCTCAGTGGAGTCCTATCCGTAGATATTGGTGGCCCTGAAGAGAGTGGGGCAGTTTGCTTCTGTTTTCCAATAGAGCAATACATAAATGCCTGCCATGGTCTCCTACTCCAGACAGAGCCATGGGGCAGAGCTTGTTCAGAGAGGGGGAGTTTGTTTCAATAGAATGATGTGGAAGGGCATTTTGGTGACACACAGAGATACCTGGAGATACCGTGATGGTGGCACAGGGCTGTGGTGATGCCTGGGAGATACAGAGGTGGAGCAGTAGCACAAAATGCCTGAGAAGGAGAGTCTCTCTGTGATACAAAGATGATGGCTGTGGAAGATGACTTACATTGCAAAGTACTCATATTGTGCTGGAGGAAGAGACAAGCCTGGATTGCCGTTGTCCTGTGGTGCTGACCTCCAGTCCATCCTGCACTAAGATGATGTGCATTCTTGAGCTCTCCTCTTCCAGGGTTTGGGCTCAGGCAGGCTCTTCATAAGGGCTGGAAGGTGTACTCTGTGCATGGTAAACATACCTCATCTTGGGAGTGGGCTTGGGACCATTCCTGAGTGGGAAGTGGAAAAGAAAATGCAGGCTGGAAGGAAGAAAAAAATGTACTAGTATGATATACAGATGCAAAAAGATGAAGATTTTCTGAAACATAAGAAACTGAACTACACAGAGCACTCTGAGACATAAGATAATAATCTTGTACTAGCAGAGGGAAGGATCAGACAAAGTGATAGGTCTTTTGCACCTCCAGCTTTTACAATTCTTTGATTCTTATCTTTGGAATTTGCAGATCAAGGTTCAGCTTTTAGTTGACTGTGACAACATAATTCCTGGAGGTAAAAGACACCTCTAGAAGCCATGTCATGTGAATTAAGGCAAAAGATTCAGCGTGGGGCCAGTATTATGATGGCAAGTTGCTTATATTAAAAAATAACAGGTGTGCACAGACACACTGAGAGGGCCAGGCAGTACGAATATTGTTCCCTAAATTTCCACTATCATGAATGTTGATGTAATACTCCAATGATCTGTGCCATGAGTTGCAGCTTCAACATTGCTTTTCATTTCCCTAATGTTTTTTGCTCATTTTGTTGCCAGTATTGTTGTTCAATATGCATGAAAAGAAACAGTCTCTCCTGGAAGTGCAATTTAGAGATGTAGCAGACCAGAAAACTAGTGGCAAGAAGCTGACTATCACTGAAAATTGAACAACTGGGACTCAAAATCTAGTGAAAAAGAAAAGATTAATGGGAAGTAATTTGTTTGCACTCAAAAAACCACGTTTAAGACAAAATTGTACCTCCTGGAATTATACATTCAGCTAGTTTTATTATTGCAGTAAAACAATATGTGATGTTTTGCTTTTGACAAACATAAATAAATGACTTCCAGTTGTGGATGGGCACTTTATGGGCTGTCATGGATTGGTATAAGTAAGTGTTTACACAGCCTAACAGGAGGAAGCATGGTGTTTTTAAGGAGTGACCAGATTTTACAATACAGACTCGTTACTTTGTGTTTGTATATAGGAATCACTTACATAAACTGTAAACAAAGTCTTAGTTGCAAAAGGCTGTCTGGTATCTTGGCTGCCAAGAAAAAAAGGATTAAATTAAGACAACTCTACTGTAGCAGTGTTACTTTATATACTGCTAGATATGTGAGTTGAATAGTCATTTTTTAATTTGCATTTATGCCATGTGTGAAAAAAGGATTTTTCTCTTTTCTTTCTCTCGCTTTGTTTATTTGAAACAGATAGACTGTGTTGTTACCACTGTCTTAAACCTTCCTGAAGTTTAGTATCAGTGATTGCCGCCTGGATTCACCAGGAAAGAGGATTCTACCCACAGCTTACTCGCTGATTTCCTTTCACACCCACCACACATCTGCACTTGGGACAACAGGAAACTTTAATTAAGACAAAATCCTTTTGCATGATGATTTCATTTTCAAAATAAATAAAAGCAAGCTGGCAGCAAGCCTTTGAAAGGAAGGAGCCTGTTTAGACTTTCTGTTACATGCAGTTGGTTGTCTTTTTCATCCATTTTCCTTAAATCTTTTTATTTCTGCTGTGAGTTTTATTGTGCATGAAATTGATGGCTGGTAGCCCCGACTGAAGCCAGACCTGGCACGGTGAGGTGCTGCCGGAAAGACATGGCTCTCCACCCTCTAAATATTCTAGATACTCCGCTGCTTGCTTTAGCTTTCTCCTACCCACTCTGTCCATCTCTGTTTGGAATACTGGAGGTCAAACTCCCATGAAAAAATAGGTCTGTGCTTATTTCACACATCAGTGTGTGCTAATCATGTTTAGCACAGGGCTCATTAGATCACCACTGAGCAGCAAGAAGGTCCATCATACGGGGGTAATAGCGTAAGACTTTTGAGGGGCAGATTGGGGTCTGTTTGCTGATCTGGAGGAAACTAGGTGCCTGACAATCTTGAGAGAAAGAGAAAAATCAGCATCAGAATGGACCTTGTGACTTACTGGTGTGTACAGGTGGCCTCCAAGCATGAAGTACCATTTCAGCAGTAATTGCCGAGTCCATCTTGGGTGTGTGCACACACACTGTGCGTTCAGATGTGCCCTTTTTGCGTTCCGGCAGGGCGATTACTGGGCTTGCTTAGATATCGAACCTGAGAGCTAGCCAGTGCTCTGAAGATTCTGCCTTTCC